TTTTTGTGGTGTTGAGAAGGAGAGAGATAGGGTTTGGCCGTTTGGAAGATTAGGTTGGATTTTTAAGGAGGGAGAGAGCGGGAAAATGAGGGAGGGAATGTGGGGGTTTGAAAGAAGGGGTCAGGACTCAGAAGGCGCGGAATTGAGTAGGGTTCTAGGGTTAGCTCATGGCTGCTGAGTTGGCCCGGCATCCTGCTCGGGGTGAGTCCCTGGCGTTTTATGTCAAGGTGATGCATGGACCCATGGTCCACTCTTGGTGCACCCCAAATAGGCGCACCAGGACCAGGCCCATCGTCTATTCTTATTTCTTGGTCTTTACTCTTTAACATTGTCTGATTTTTTTATAATTATTGATTAATTAAGGTGATATTTATAAAAAAATTACAATTAATGTGTTATCTCTTATTATTATTATTATTATTATATCCTTTTATTAATTTTTTATTATTACGTGCATTATGAGTGAATATTACATATAAATTTTAAAATTTGAATGTAAAATCTTTTTACTATATAAATTTTAAAATATAAATAAGTGAGAGTGTTTAAAAACTATAACTTATTTAATAATGTTTAAATTAAGAGGATAGGCACAAAAGATAAAATTAGTTTTTGTTTTATGGGCAATTGGTATGTAATATTAATTTATGATAATAATAATAAATTTCCTAAATAAAAACATTATTTATAATGTCATATTTCATAAAATAAGAACGTTATTTTTTTTCTTATAAATAAAATAAGAACTTTTATTTATTGTAATTTCTAGCTGAAATTTTCCAACTAGTTTTTTTCTCATTGTTCAAAGCACACTCAAATTTATTTTTCAATATTTGCTACTTTCTCCAATGAATTTAGATAAAATTTGATAATTTTTAACATCTATTTCTTTTAATTTTTTTGGACATAATATTTCTTAAAAGGTTACATTAGTCTAACATAATAGTAATCAATAAAAACTATTTCAAATAATCCAAAAATAACAAAATCAAAATTTAATAAAAACAAAAAGGATAATTTATATAGTTCTCCCAAGTCTCAGGGCAGCCTTTGGGTAAGGCCACCCAAGCAAGTGTTTAGGCCTCAAATTTGAAAAGTCTCATATTTTTATAATCATAATTTAATTAAATATATAGAAATATATAAAATTTAATAAATCAATAAATTATTTATCTATTTTCTTATACTTAATAAATATTTATTTTCTCTCACTGTCACATTTATATTAATTTTAAACTAATTATCTCATTTATTATTACAAATATTTTAAAGTAAAAAATAATTAATAAAATGATATATTCTCTCAATTCTTTAATTATGTGTCTAATAAATTTTAATTTTTTATCACTTCTCAATTATTTTTTGTTCAATCTATAATATCCACTCTTTAATTTTTCTTCCATCATTTGGTCTATTTTATTTTAACTTCATATTTCTTCTAAAAAATGCGCAAGAAATCTATTATATTATTATCTTTGTACAGTTGTGAGTCTTATTTACGATTTACAATAAATATTCAACAATTAGTAACTATTGTTTTAACTTTTACAAATTTTTTTACTTTAATTTAGAGTTTATATTATATTATTATATTATCTTTATTTT